AGAATAATTCGAAATTGCTCCAACTTTGCAACTCCTAATATTTGAATCAGTGGTAGGTCAGATACGAAAATGGACAATATAGGTCCACTATATCAAGTACCCTCCCGACCAAGGGCCAACATTTTATTATAACTCTTATTGTCTGCAAATTACATACACATCACAATATTTGTATTAAGCCAAGGTTTAGTGAGAAAATGGAATATACTTCTTCTGGTACCTCCCACACAAAGGGTCAACATTTTGAATATTCATGAAGCTCATAAAACGCGAAATTAACTTCAGATTTTATTTAGACTTGGCACGTCTCAATATTTCCATAAACACAAGATCTGATATAAAGATTGAAGAGATCGGGACATTTCTTCTGGTACCTCCCCCACAGAGGGTTCAAGATTTTGAAAAACAAAACGAGAAAAAACAAAAGAAAACAAAATAAGCATCTAACTCTCTTCAAATTTCACACACACAAACCTTTTTTGCTAACAACACTATCTGTTGTGAAGATGATATATATCTGCCAACCCTTTCTGGTACCTCACCCACAAATGGTCACAATTTTCAATATTTTTGTCTGTCATAACATGCGAAACAAGACGTGTTCTATCTAAATATTTCTCCCAACCTGAAACCTAAGATGTATATGGAATTTATGGTTTCGCATGGAATTGGATATAAATGTTCGATTTTCTTGTAATTTGTCCATACCAATATTTTTACCTGAACTCGATCTAAGTTTGATAGAAATCTTACGATACATCAAATTTGGATTAATTCTCATACTAAGTATCAATGTGAGCCCAGACAGACATTTTTGCCTTATCAAATATTATTAGATCCAATATGCTGTGAGGTGTGGCTAGGACCCTAAACAGCTTAAATTGGAATGTGAGTATTTCTATCCTTAGAGACCTAAGGTGGGGGGCTATACTAACTAGTAGGCTTACATTAGATATGTCTGCAGGCCTCAACCGTCCCTGAAAGCTTTAATCGTCACCTTTCGTATTTTTTCCAGAGAAATTTTGAGATGTGAAGTACCTCAAAATGAAAATTCTACTCTAACTCTTCAAAGTACTATTCTTATACAAATATGTTCAATGGTTGGTCTACGTAGTTAGTTTCCAATATCAATTTCCTAGCCATTATACATCGATTAACTATTGAATGGTGATCAAAAATGTAATTATGCATTTTATTGGATCCACGACGAATTGAGAAAAATATGCCGTACATAGTATATGCGGCTTATTTATTTTTATGAGGGAAACTGTTTTGTTTACCACAACCACAGTCCTCATCAGTCCCCAATTACGTAATGTTAATAATATTAATATCGCTTTTATGCCATTAAGTTTTACGATTATCTTTACAATACCTTTAATTATCACTTTCTCATTTTTTATTAACCTTCGAAATTACAAAAATACATGCATTTATGTCATAACACAATCCAAAAATGGAAAACAAGAGAAATTCACAATACACTCAATGTCAAATAAAGTAGGCCTTACCCTCATGAATTGTAATTCACTTATATTTTCGAATTGATGAAAGCGTATTGGGTAGTAGACCGCATCATTATATAGATATTACGAATCATTCGCCTTTTGTAGTTTAGGCTTCGTCGGACATCTGCCAACATGGATATGTTAAAAACTCTATCACTAATTTTTCTCTGCTTATTGGTGTTAATTTTAATCCATGCAACTGATGGTGTTCCCGTAGATGAAGCTCCCCAATGTGTTCCTCGTGGTGGTTATGTAAGTAAACATCTGATTTATTTAATATTCATTTTTAATTGTCTTTAATTTTTTTTTCTCTTCTTGAATATAGTGCCAACACCAATGGGAATGCTGTTCGAAGAGATGTCTCAGCTATTCATATCGATGTGTCGGAGAACCGGCTGGACAGCAAAATAAGGATATTGAAATGCAAGCCAAGCATCGAAATCTTAAATTAAAATTGTAGAAAGTTTATCTGGCTACAGAATAACTTACATGTAGGGTTCTTGAAATAAATAGGCATTGTGAATCTAAGACTAGAGCTAGCGTTTGTTATTTGAGATTTCGTAATTACTTTTTGTATTATATTTACTTTTAATATTATGTTTACAGCGTTAGTGCAGCAGTAAGAAAATTTACATTGTGTCTTTTTTTTCTGCAAATCAATTCTGCAAAATCAATTATACAAATACATGTGGATAAAATGATCCCAATATGGTGGTATATTTTAGGGGGTTTAAATGCACCCTATCTTTGCACCAGTCTCTTTAATTTTTAATGCTTAGTTAAAATGAGATTTTCGAATGTTTGGGTGTAAAATAATAAAGTAATACATTTATCGGTTTGCGACTAAATTTAAATCCTTAGCCTATGAGCATATACACAACTATGTAAGTTTAAGGCCATTTAATTTATTAGGATGGCCCAAAAGTTTGTGTCGACGTAAACCACATCTTAAAAATCAAAGTAGATGTGCTAAGTTTTTCTAAATCTACGGGCGCGGTTTTTAACTTTTATCGTTTATGACGTCTTAGCACCTGGTGAAAACGAAACAATGATATAGTCGAAATCTCCCTTCTTTATAGAGGAGGTGGCACAAAATATCAGAATATGTTTTCAATTTTATAAAAATACGATGATGTCAGATATTTAGCTTAACTTTTTTCCCTTTATATGGTCGTTAGTTGGCGAGTTATCTGAAGGACTAAACCAAATTGGTATTAATAGACGACATCCTATTAATGACATTTGGAGTCAATTTCCAATTTATATCTAACTCGATTGACAACTTTGATCAAGTCGAATGATGGGCAGTATCTGTTTATTTCTTCTGGTACCTTCCAGAGTTGTGGGGTCTGTGTTGCACGGTTTTGCCTAATTTGGAGTCTAAGTCGAAAAAATTAGCAACTTCTCCACCAACTATTACATTTGCCATTTGGTTTGTAACACCTCCAAATTTTCGTCTGTGACCCATAAAGTGTATATATATATTGGTGATCACAATAAAATTCCAAGTTGATTTAACGAGCCGTCCAGCCCATATTATTTGGCATAGAGGTTTGAAATTTGGCGGTATAGTGTAACGCAAACTTAATTTTTCTCCGAAATTGTTTGAAATTTATAATTTAGAGTTTGTAATGCATTCTATTTTCGGTGGCTGAATATTGTCTATATACTTCCAGGTTTATCAATAAACCTTCGGAAATTTGGTATTATGCCAATTTTAGGCATATTTTCTATCGAATTTGTTTAAAATTCGGTATTTGTAGTTCGTAATGGCTTATATGGCAGAACATCGTCTATATAGGTCCACGTAGAGCATCTATAGAAATTAAACTGCTGGTGAATAAAAATAGGTAGTGCTGATTTAAAATGTGTTCTTGAGCAGCACTGCTCAAAATCGTGAGCTTAGCACATGAGTTAAAAAAAATGAGATTTTCTCTTTGTTTTTATCCAACTTGGATGCTGTCCAAAATTGTTATTAAAACAATTTATTATTTTATTATTTTTGGATGATTTAAAAAAAAATTAAAGAAATTGGACTGGAGAGCGAGGTCTGACTTTTGAGCAGCGTTGTTTTAGAGCACCTGCCAAGTGCCCCTTCTTTAAACCGCAAACAGAGTGAATATCAAATAGTATAGTTTTTTGAAAAACGTGACACAAATATGCCTCATTTTATACTCTCAGCCATATGGCTACAGGGGTAATATATCATATGATACGACCAAATCCGTTTCAGGACATTTGGAGTCGATTTGATGCAAAACTTGGTACATCGTAATATTATTATCAAACTTATATCGATGTCGAACATTGGCAATATCGGTCCACTCCTTCTGTTAACTCCCCCCCAAATGGTCCAAATTTTCAAAGAAAAAAAAAAAAAAAAAAAAAAATATATATATATATATATATATATATATATATATATATATATATATATATATATATATATAAATATATATATATATATATATATATATATATATATATATATATATATATATATATATATATATATATATATATATATATATATATATATATATAAATTTTTTTTTTTTTTTATTGTAGAGATGGAGGAAGAATAAGCCGATTTTTGCTCCAACTTTCCAATTCCTAATATTTAAATCAGTGCAAGGTCAACATTTTAAATAATTATAACTCTTATTGTCTGCAAATTACACATATCACACAATTTTTGCATTAAGCCAAGGTCTGGTGTGAAAATGGAATATATCTGGATGAGAAGAGAAACACGACCGAATGGTTAGGGTGCTATTTCAGTTCTGATTTTATTTTAGGAATATAATTATGAAACTAATCTAACTTAACCTAGTCGCAGCCACACAATTGTTCTCATCTATTCTAATACTGAGTGGAGAACATTGCAGGGCTGCTTGACATCTCATTCAAGTGGCTACTGAGCGCATCGATATCTGTGCGTGTGGGTCATAACCTTTATTATCTCACACATTATCGTATGCGTCAGCGCACAAGATCGCCGAATTCTTCACATGTGATATTTTATGGCGGCTGGGAAATATTTAATTTTAGAACATTTATCTTTTATTGCTACATTTTCCCAGCGCGTCGATCGCACTCAAAGTACAAAGTATTTTGTACAATATCGGTCCACTTCTTCGGGTACCTCCCACACAAAGGTGTTCTACATTTTGAATATTCATGAAGCTCATAAAACGCGAAATTTACTTTAACACTAGAACTCCATATTACGCTTAAGTCAGCTACGAAAACGAACAAAGTTGGTTCACTCCTTACCGTACCTTTTCCTTAAATAACTCATATAGAAATTATTTCTGCAACCTCGTCAAAAATAATGAGTTCCTCATACTGAACAAAGTCCATCATTAACACAAAACTTTTCACATCGCATTGTGATGGGCAAATTAAATTTAAACTCTTTGTTGGGGCTATACATACGTCCGTCGTTAAACCCACTGGCACATTCTAACTTGTTTATAAAAAATACATCACTCCAGTTATATTCTATATTTTTCTTTACTTATACAAAATTCGAAAAAAAACTCCATTTAATATTTTCTGCGACGATTTCCCATAACATTATTATTAATTAAGTCTTCCAAGGACATCGGCGATTGATTGAACTCGGGAACTTTGTCATTTGATTTTGGCACTGTATAAATATTAAATGCGTACAAATTAAAAAAAAAATAATAATTCACAAAATAAAATTGACTTACACATCCTCCCCGTTGCTGGATGTTAATGTAGCCGCTTGCAATATTTAGCAGAAGAATTGTCACAAATAGCTGATAGATAAAACGGAGAATATTGCTGCCGGAAAACATCTTGCTGTCTCGAGCTCTACAATCGAATTGACCATAAATGCATCGCTGTCTTGCAGCTTGAGCGCTTTCATGATAACGAGCTGATATTTTCCTTTATATGGAAAGTGCAATTGGCAGCGTGAGAGGGTCATTAACTCTTAAGGGCTAAGTACATAAGAAGCTTGAAGTCATGGCACGGCCTATTTTGTGACATTTCACAAAGGAATTACAGAGCCGCACTAAAATCCAGCCGTCGTTTTCCATTATATTTTGACATTAATATGCCTAGCCATGACTTCAAGCTTTTTATGTACTTGCACTCTTATAGTTGAGTCGAAGGATATGTTTTATTTTTAAAAATAATATTTTTTTCTTTTGATTGCTTTAAATATGGAAATCAATCAAGAAATTAATTAAAAGTCTTAAAACAAAATATGAGAAAAATATAAGTTTAACCTCACGAGTAATAAGAATTTGATATTTGTCTCCTTTACTCTCAGATTTGCCAAATAATAAATCGTAAATCGCCAAAGGCGAAATATGAATTTTGTGGAGAATTCGAGTAGCATTTATGTAAACAATTGTTTTGAATATGAAAGGAATACTACCTACGCTAAGTCTTTTACATATTAGAGTATTATTCTTAAATCTGCTATGCAACAATTCGTTTAATATACAAATATACAAATACAAACATTATTTAGACCCCTCTCACTTGTTGAGGGATTTACTGATACGGACGGATATCGAATTAATCTTCCAGTCAGCTGATCAAGATTTATTTACTTTACCATGTTGTTAAAATATTTTGGCTGGACATGAATTGTTTTCCAGAAAAGAGAGGAAAACGACATCGGTGAAATTCTAATCAAATAATAATTACTAGAAAGTGCCTGCTACTTCGTCCCCTTAAAATTTAGATTCGTTCCAACAGTTCGTTTTGGCACTTCCTAGTACCCAAAATTCAAAATTTACTCAGTTTGACAAAATTGTATACCCTCAGTAATAGGCTACAGAGTGTATACACACGTCATTTGATACGGCCAAAACGTGTCTCATCGAAATAATGTTTTAAGATTCTAGGTCTCTTTGGACCAAATCCGTTACAGGACATTTGAGGTCGATCTAGTGGTGTCCGTAACGATAACTCTCAAACGGAGCATCCAATTTGTTCCAAACCTGGTACATCGTAATATTATTGTCCGCCTTAGATCGAGTTCGGAGATGGACAACATCGGACCACCCATTCTGGTACCTCCGCCACTAAAGGTCGAAATTTACAAGAATTTTTGTTTTTATTTTTTTAATTTACCTCATAAAAATCCCAATGTGAAATAAGAGTCCGATTTTATTCAAATATAACACATCCCAATATTTTTATCAACAAAAGATTGGGTGTAAATATGAGACATGTAGGACCACTCCTTCTGGTACCTCCCATAAAAAGGGTTTTCAAACTTGGTTTATCTAAAGATTTCTCTTAACCCGAGATCTGATGTGAATGTGGAATTTATCGGCCACTCCTTCCCGTACTTCCCTCACAACGGGGTTAACATTTTGAATAATTATAACCCGTAACTGACGAAACAAGTCAGCGATTTTCACCCAACTTCATTCAAGTTTGTTTTTTAATCGACCTTTATATAAGTCTTATAGATATTTCGGCCCACTTATTCTGGGTAAACTTTTGGCTAACAATAATCCCAATAGAATTTTAAATAAGTTTTCGATTTTCTTTAAATTTAGAATGTGGAAAACTCCGGTCCACTGTATATGGTACATTGCGTACATTTGAACATTTCCCAAAAATTATCACATATCTCATATAAAGTACAGAAGTTGATATAGTAAAACCATAGCGCAATGTAGACCCACAGCCAATTCTTCGGTAAAAACTCAAACGACGGCTCCAGACAGGATACCACAAGGAGTGGACCGATATATCCCATTTTCACACCAGACTTAGGGTTAACAAAAATATTGTTATTTGTGTAATTGGAAGGGATCCAGATGCTATTATATTTCGAATTTAATGATTGTTTTGGTTATTCAAAACTTCGACCTTTTGGGGGAGGTACAAGAACGAATAGTCCGACCTCTACAATATTTATAACATACCTTATGTTTATGGAAATTTCGCGCTTTATGAACTTCATGGATATTCAAAGTGGACAAGAAGAAGTGGACCGATATATCTCATCCTTACACCAGACCTTGGGTTAATAAAAATATTGTGTAATTTGAAGGCAATCTAAGTCTTACATCACATTTTGTAAGAGTTATAATTATTCAAAATGTTGACCCTTTGTACGGAAGGTAATCGATGGAGTGAACCGATAGTGTTCATTTTCGCACCTGACCTAGCACTGATGCAAATATTAGGATTTGCAAAGTTGGAGCAAAATGGGATTATCCTTTCTCTTTCTGTGCAATAAAATATTTTCTTTGGAAATTTTGACCTTTTCGTGGGGGAGGTAAAGAAAGAGATGAGAGATATAGCCCATCTCCGAACTCGATCAAAGTTTAATAATAATATTACGATGTACCAAGTTTAGATCAAATCACATACTCCCTTCTAGAATTATCGTGCGCACCAATCAGATAGACGGACGGATGGACGGACATCGACTAGATCGACTCTAAATGTCTTGAAACGGATTTGATCCAAAGAGACCTAAGGTCTGAGGCACGTTTTCTTCAAATTATATGTACCCTCTCTAGCCATATGGCTGAGGGTATATCTGGTAAAAAAGTTGTAAGTTCGGCCGAATTTTGAATATCCTCTACCATTTGGAACGAATTTGGTAATTTTCAAAAAAATAAAATCCGTTAAAAATTCTGTTAAAATCTTTAAAATACCGAACGTAGCCGTTGTATTAGTCATTACAATATTCAAATTCGAAACTTGAAAAAAAAAAATTGAATAATGTAGCTAAAATCATCAAAATACCGAATAAGGGTATAAGGCGAATATAGGTGCAATTATACGTGCATCTGCACAGACAATTTTCTGTCATAGGCTGTAGTATCCAATTCGTTCTTCAAAATACCAAATTTGAAACAATTCCGGTGAGTAATGTTGCTTAAGTCATCAAAATACTGAATATCGGGAGCTGCCATTATATAGGGGTTATACGAACGCATGGAATAATGTCGCTTAAGTCATCAAAATACCGAATATGGGGAGGTTCCGTTGTTTTGGGGCTGTACGAAGACGTGGACCTGCACAAACAATTCTCTGTCATAGGATGTGGTATCCATTACGAACTTCAAATACCAAATTTGAAACAATTCCGGAGAATAATGTCGCTAAAATCATCAAAATATCGAATATCGGGATTTACCGTTATATGGGTGCTATACGAAGACGTGGACCTGCACAGGCAATTTTCTGTCATAGGCTGTAGCATCCATTACGAACTTTAAATACCAAATTTCAAACATTTCCGGTGAATAATGTCGCTTAAGTCATCAAAATACCGAATATCGGGAGGTACCGTCATATGGAGGCTATACGAAGTCGTGGACCTGCACGAAGAATTTTCTGCCATAGGCTGAAAAAATTTGAAACAATTCCGGTGAATAATGACGCTAAAATCATCAAAATACCGAATATCGGGAGGTACCGTCATATGGAGGCTATACGAAGTCGTGGACCTGCACGAATAATTTTCTGCCATAGGCTGTAGTATCCATTACGAACTCCAAAAACCTGGCTGTGGCATCCATTACGGCCTTCAAATACCAAATTTTAAACATTTCCGGTGAATAATGTAGCTTAAATCACCAAAATACCAAAAATAGGGAGATACCATTATATGGGGGCTATACCAAAACGTGCACTTAAATGGTCCATTTTCAATACCAAAAGTTCAGCAGTAACATTTGAGTAAAATTTTATCAACCTACTTCTTTGCGTTCGGAAGCTAGAGTAATTTCCACAGACAGTTGGACATCGCTAGATCGACTCCAAATGTCCTGAATTTGGTCCAAAGAGACCTAGGATCTGAAATCTTTTTGGCCGTATCTAATGATATATCCCATTTCTAGCCAAATGGCTGAGGGTATAAAAAGTATAGATCACTTAAAAACAACTCCGACAGTATGATGTTAACATTTAAAGCAATCAACAGTTATGACTAGGTTTTTGCGGCGACTAATAGCACCGGGGCCCTTGGCATTGTACAATAAAACACAGATACAAATATTGTTCACATTTCCCAACAATACAATGAATTTTCAAATGCTACGAAAAATTGAAAACCATTCTCATTTTATTATAGCTTTATTGGTTGTAGTATTTCTACTTTCTCCATATTCTATTCTTGGGGTTAAAAACTTCCGAAACCAAATTTTGTAACCATTGTGGTGGATCGGTTTCACTTTGTTGAGATTCATTGGCTGACTGAGAAGGCTCCTCATTTGGTTGGGTGTTTCCCACACTTTGCTCGCCATTACTGCTTGCATTCTCTTGCACCAACGGTTCCTCGATGCAAATTTCATTTAATTTGGCAATACATTCTGGCCGGGGTAAATCCAAATATCTGTTGCACTGTATAAATAAAAAAAATATTTAGGATATATAAAATTCCTACGTTCATTGTCATTTACTTACAAATTCGGTAACATCGATACACCATAAATCACGTGGTAGATCATCATCCTCCTCAATGGCTGCACTTAGCCCAGTAGCCAAATTTGCAATCAAGGCAACCATCAAAAGATGATAAGAAAAACGTTTTCGTAGATTGGAGGCGGCGTTCATGTCGTTGTCGTCTGTCAATAGCTTTCGACGAAAGTGTGTCATAGAGTTTTGTTGCTCAACTGTTTATATAGCCAAAGAATTGTTAAAAATGTATTTTTTTTTTCAGATAGCAGTACAATCATCATCGTGCAGTTGTTGTTGGTTTTTTTTTTGTTGTTGTTTTGTTTTCTGCTAAAGTCATTAGTAGCAGAGTTGTTTTCCCAATATTTCGAGGCGAAGACGAAGGGAATTTTTCTTTGCAATTGTAATATTTTTCGTTTTTATTACTAATATTTTTATATTTATGTTTTCGTTTGAAATTGTTATCATTTAACTGCCATATCTTCCCATAAAATCTCTCCAACTTGCATGACTAATTTGTTTTTCTTCTCAGTTTCCAATATTGTATTGAAGCCGTATCGTTAATAGTCATTAACCACTGTCAATTCGGAGAAAATGCATTGACAGCTATTTGTCATTCTGGCTTATTGTTTTAATTTTGACTATTTTTCTATTTTTTAAATAATGCGTCATATAATTTGGATCACCAAATGTTAGCTGTAAATAAATATAATTAATAGAAATATTTATTTGTACTTTTTGTTTTTTTTAATTTATTTTCAATAATTTCTATGGGTGAAACACATGCTTCTAATCTTCGGCAAATAGTGCATTGAAGCATATTTCTGCACAAAATGCTGTATTGTTTTCAAAATGCGTGGTATTGAAAACGGGCAGTGAGGACTCCTTGGCCCAAATCCGTTTCAGGACATTTAGAGTCGATCTAAGGTTGTCCGTCCGTCTGACTGGCTGGTGTGCACTATAACTTTCGAAGGGAGTATCTGATTTCGTCCAAACTTGGTACATCGTAATATTATTGTTAAAGTTAAATCGATTTGGGATATGGGCAACATCGGACCACTCTTGGTACCTGCCCCCACAAAAGATTAAAATTTCCAAAGAACATAATTTACCTTATAGAAAGAATGGCCCAATTCTGTGCAAACTTTTCAAATCACAATTTCTGCTATATCGGGCCACTCCATTAAGTATCTCCCCCATAAAGGGTCAAAATTTGGAATAATAATGTCTTATAAAATGTGAAATAGTAGCTGAAGCTCCTTAAACGCGAAGTGGCCCTCCAATTTCTTTCAACTCGACATTTCTCAAAATTTCTATCAACACGAGATCTGTTGTAAAGAATGTAGATATCGTCTACTCCTTGTACCTGCCCCAAAAAGTGTCAAAACTCGGAATAATTATAACTTTTATAAAATGTGAAATAAATTTCGCGCAGCGCAGTATATTTTATTAAAACAAGATCTGGTGCAAATATATGGAATTTCTTTCTGGCACCTCCACAATCCACAAATCATAAAACCAAAACGACCATAAAATATGAAATAAGCATTCGATTCATACTAAGCTTCACACATTCCAATATTTCCACTAACTCAAATCTGGTAATATATTGGGATACTTCTTGTCGTACCTTCCCCACAAAAGATCAAACTTTTGAGTAATTATATCTCTCGTAACATGTGAAACAAGTCAGGCATATTTTTAAAACTTGGTTTATCTGAATATAGCTCTAAACCAGAGATCTGATGATAATATGGAATTTATCGGTCCACTCCTTCTATAATGTGAAACTAGTCAGCGATTGCGATATTTTTGTTAACCATAGATTCTTATTAAACTTTGGATTAACTTTTATTCCAATTCTATTTTTTTTTCTTTAAATGTGAATAAAGTGAAATACTTCGGTCTCCTGTATCTGGTACATCGCACACATTTGAACATTTTCAAAAAAGTAGCTGGAAGTGAGAAATTCTATTTGTACAACATTTAGAATCATTGGTACGAAATATGGGTCAAATCGGTCCAGTTTTTGATATAGCCTACATATGATTATATATCCGGTGTATTCCACAAGCATTTTTAAGACATATTTTCCAATAAATTGTGCCAAATGTTCGTATTTTGTGTCCTGATGATACTAAAAACTATCAAAATGAGTACACGTTTTGGTATACCAGGCCGTACCACTTAATGTACGCTTCTTCAAAGCCTATTGTCCATATTTCCAATTAATTTGGTGTTTTGGTTTTTCAGGAAGTAGAACATCTCTTCACAGAAAATTTTCGATGTAGGTCAGGGATTTGGAATAGTCCTAATAAGGAAGGTATCTCTGAGTTTAGCTATCTTGAGTTGCTTGACCAAAATTTTCCAATTGATTTGGCGGAAATTTTGTATTTTGGTTTCTTTATGCGTAGACAGCCTTACCAATACAAATATATTAAATTATGAATAGAGTAATAATTTCGAAGCCTACTGATATTAAAACCTACAAAAAATGTCGAGTACCTGAGGTATGAAAAGTTATGGTATCGGTCCACTTCTTAAGGTCCTCTCTCACAAATTTGAATTGGTCCAAACTTGGAATATAGTTATATTATTCTCCAATTAAGATTCTGCCCAAAGACTAAAACGTAGAATACTTGGTCCTTTTTAGTTCGAACTTGCCTGACATAGCATCCTATTCTAGACCAAAATGTCATATATTCCAGAAAATAGGAATTTGTCGAATAACTTCCTTTTAAAAATATATAGCTCATGCAATGTTAAGGCGGGGACATAATTGACCGAACTTTCTATATTGTACGTACATATATGCTCAAATTCATAGGTGGCCCTTTTTTATACTCTCCACCTTCAAAAATAGGGTATATTAACGTTTGTAACATCTCTAAATATTCATCGTGGACCCCATAAAGTTTATATATATTCATGATCGGCATAAAATTCTAAGTCGATTTAACGATGTCTCTCTGTTTTTCCGTTTGTTGAAATCACGATACAGACCACATTATTTGACGTAGAGCTTCAAAATTTGCAAAAAATGTATTGTGTCTAGGATGGTTGGTATTGAAAATATATTGGTCCAGGTTTTGGCATAGCCGCCATATAATGGTACCTCCCTATATTCGGTATTTTGATGATTTTTGCCACATTTTTCCACAAATTTGTCTACAAATTGCTATTTGTTGTTCATAATGAGTACTAGCTCCGGTAGCGAAACTTTTTTTATGTATAGGTCCACGTTTTCCTATATCGCACATATAACGATACCCACTGATATTCGGTATAATCCTAGTCTTATTTACCCACGAAATTGTTTCAAATGTGGTATTTTGGAAGATTTGATAGATGACAATCCTTGAAGTATAAAATTGTCCATAGAGGTTCCCGTTTTGGTATGTCCCTATATAACGGTCCTATTGACTTTATGTTTTTTTTTTTTTTTGATTAGTTTATCGGCATTATCCACACGGTCTCACTGGTATATAAAGTTTAAAGTGAAACACGCTTGAATTCGGATACTTGCATATAAAAATGTTTCCTTTTCCCCAAAGGTGGAGGGGGGTATTAAAAGTTCCATCTGGCCGAACTAATTTCTTTTACTTCTATTATTTAAGTTTTTCGTAAAATAGTAACATTATTGTACATTTGTCAACAAAATGTAAACATTCGTATTCGTATTCGTTTTTACAATATTTTCTTAAGAGAAATAAAGACTTATTCAAATTTAATCTTAAAACATTTACTATAGTGTTATCGCATTTCGCAATACACAAGGTCTATTTTTGTGTGATGTATGCGAACGAAGAAACACGAATACCAATGTGTTTTCCTAATTTTTTGATATAAATCAAATCAAAGTTATGATGAATTGATTTGTTTTAATTTCTCTAAAATTATGTTACTACGTTCTATCTAAATTCGCCGGATGTGCCGTCTGTGTAGTCGCTTCATTCTCAAAACAATTATAACTCGCCCAAGTTACCACAAACATAACAGGGTGACAACGAACACCCTGTACCGAAATAAAATGTTGTGTGGTTTATGGAAACACTTAAAAATACAAATCATGCTCTTCAAACTAATGCTACAAAGATTTTCAAACTGTTTAAAAATGTCGTTTCTTTTTCCAATTCTTCACTCGCTTGCCAGAGGGCGCATTGTGCAGTTATTTTCATTCGCGTCGACAACAAAGGAGTGTGTTTTGGGAATTTTTTGTTTGTTAATGAAAAACATTCGCTAGACCCTAACATCGTCCGAAAATAATCTTTTGATACCGTAGATATCCCAGATAAAGTTGTTCTCGAATTTTATTGAATGATAAAGGTTTAATTTTAACATTCTCTACTACACATTATAAGCTCTATATGTACCCACCAAAATGTTGGATTTGTCCATTACCAATTGTGTTGAAGGCGGATGACTTATATTATGCCATATTTTACCATGGATTGACAAGTAGGCCTAGAATTCTGAAGTTAAGTACATGACCTTTTCCATGGACATTTAAATGATAGGCACAAATGTTTTCTAATGTTCGCATTAAACTAAAGTGTGTACTAATAGAAGTAAGCTATTGAAAATAACCATCAAGTGAGTGAGGCCATTATATGGGGACCATACCTAAACGGGAACCTCTATACACAGTTTTATACTTCAAGGATTGTCATTTACCAAATCTTCTTAAATACCAATACCAATTTCGCGGGTTAATGTGGCAAAAATCAGCAAAATGCCGAAAATTGGCCCCCATTATGTGGGGGCTATACAAAACGTGGACATATATATTAAGTTACGCCACCGGAGCTACAAATACCAATTTTTAGACAAATCGGTGAAAAAATGTGACGTAAATCATCAAAATACAGAATATTGGGAGGTACCGTTATATGGCGGTTATATAGAAACGTGGACCGATATATCTCATTTTCAATACCAACCATCGTAGAAACAATACAAAAAGTTCTGCTAAATTTTGACGCTCTGCGGCAAATAATGTGGGCTATATCGTGATTTCAACAAAAGGACAGGCAGACGGACAGACACACAGACATAGTTTAATCGACTTAGAATTTTATGCTGATTATGAATATATGTACTTTATGGGGTCTACGACGAATATTTAGGGATGTTACAAGCGGAATGACAAAGTTTCAAGGTGGAGGGTATAAAAACCAATCCTTAAAAGTAGAACAAAGAGCACTAA